ACTGGCTTGGGCCCCCCCCCCTGCCACGGGCATGCACAGCAGCCCCCCCCGGCTCCGTGCATCCACTTACCAGGGCCTGGGTGGTTGGGAAGGGCTGCAGGTCCCGCGGCTTCGGCAGCTTGGGGATCAGGTCCTCCGGGTCCACATTGACCTGCGAGAGGCAGGCGGTGAGACACACCCAGGCTGCGCCTCAGCCCCCCCCCCGGCGCTCCCCCGGCACCGGTGCTGGTGCCCTGCATGGGCTGTACAGCCCCACAGCACCAGGGCAGGCTCTAGCTGGAAAGCCCAGGCTCGGGGCTCTGAGCCAGAGGGGGATCACAGGACAGTGCTTTTGTAAGCATGGGCATGGCCCCCGTCCCAGCTCAGGAGCTCTGCAGCAAGCTGGGACTGGTGGTGTGGGTAGGTGGGGGGCAAGAGGCCTTTAGGAGCAGCAGTTTGTGCCCCAGAGCACTGCAGTCCCCTGACCAGCTGGGTGGCATCGGGGTATACACAGGCTTGAGCAGAGGCCAGTCTGAAATGTCCCCAGGACACCCGGGTGGGGGGTGCTGGGGTAGGAGAAGCCCTCACCCGCATTTTCCTCTGGCGTGGGCAGAGGTAGAGGTCCAGGCAGCGCTCGAAGCGCTCGTGGATGAAGCGGGAGTAGGCAGGCACTGCCCGCAGGCACCGGTACTGCTGGGGCACGAAGTTCAGCTTCCGCTCGGCCGGCTCCTGCTGCTCCCAGGCCAGCTTCTGCAGGGCGGAGGGGACCCGGGTCAGCAGGGCTGGCAGGACCCCTGGATGGTGAGGTGCCGCTGCACCAACCCCAGCACATCCCCCCAAGCCAAGCAAGTACTGTCCTTGAGCTGGTTTCTCACCAGCCAGCACCGTGCTGCTCCACGAGACACGGCGCTTACCCTCTCTGCCCCAACGCTCCCCGTCTGCCTCCAGCTGAGACCTCCTCAGCCTATCAGGGTTTTGCTGCCTATTTTTGCCCCCCAGCCCCTGGGCTGAACGTGCCTCTGGACAGAGCACGCCAGGACAAACCCCAGCACCAGGACACCCCGCAGTAGCTTAGCTTGGAGGCTGTACCTTGCTGTCGCAGGGACACCCCGCTCCCTGGGAGGTGGGCCCACTTCTTCTGTTTTTATTCAGGGGGCTGAGGAACCTTTGCTTTCATTTTCCTTGCAAGGTCTCGACTCATCTTGACACAACGTGGTCTCTAGGGTGCCTCCCCAAGGTGCAGCACTCCCCCTGCTGCCCTCCCTAGCACAGCCTCCCTCGGCTCCCAGCACCTACTGAGCTCCCCGTGTGCCCAGTGCTTTCCCCTGTGGCTCTTGGCTGCTCATGGCCCCCCCTTACCTCCTCCTCGCTGAGCAGGTACTCAGGTGGGGGGTTGTAGGACTCCTCGTGCCCAGGCAGCTTCATCTTGGGGGCTGGCACGTGCATCTTGTGGCGGCCCAGGATGGAGTTGGGATCCTCATGGGCCCAGAGGTCGTAGTATGTAGGTGTGTCGTCCTTGGGCTTACGGGGCTTGATCCAGCCCATCTTGATGGCGTGGACTAGCTTGGAGACCTGCGGGGCAGGGAGAGGTCAGCCCCAGGAGCCACAGGACTCCGCAGACTTGGGGAGGAGGAGGTGTGGGATGTGAGAATGGAAACGAAAGCTGCCAAGCACAGCTCTGCAGGTCTGGGAGCCCAGGGGGGGGCTGCACAGGACCGGAGGACTTGACACGGGTTTACACGTGGACACGAACTGCGGCAGCAGCAACAGTCGTGAAGGTGAGTGGGCCACGGCAGGGACAGGAGGGACTGCCGGACAGAAGAACAGCCGCAGTCACCAGCCTTCAGCGCTGCGGTCTGCGTGGGGGCTCCAGTCGCAAGCAGAGCCTGACTTTGTGCCCCCAGCTCACCCAAGGTGCCGTCAGACCTCTCACCTTCTCCTTCTCGATGAGGGAGGGGATGAAGCTCCGCTTGTCCGCCGGGCGATTTGTCACCGGGTGGATCATGACCTCGTGGGTGAAGAAGTCAACGGCTGGCTGGGGAGACACAGACGCGTGTGGCAGTGGCAGCTGTGTTGCCCCTGCCCATCCTGGGGCAACGCAGCGCTCGGAGCATGCGCAGAGGGTGTGCCGTGACCCTACCTCGTAGGGATTGAAGTGGACATCCCCAAACTGCCCTTTCTGGAGCCGATGCACCAGGTCCACCTGCTCGTCTGTCAGCTTTATGTCTGCACCCGTCATCTTGTCCTGGACCGTTCGCCTGCAGGGAACCAAATGGGACAGGGTTAGGGCTGGACTGCAGCATCCGTCCCTGACGGTGGTACAAGCCCCCGCTATCATGAAGCCCCGGGCTCCTGAAGCCATATGCCAGGAATCACACGGAGAGACCTTGAGGTCTCCAGTCTGTACTCTATAGCCCTGGGCTCTGGGGAGTCAGGGTGTTTCAAACCCTGGTGTGCACGTGTGTGGACACACACCCTCCACGTGGCGAGCACGTCACACCGTGCACCGATGTGGTCTTCCCTGACATGCTCACCAGTAGTCGGGGTTCTCCATCTTCTCCAGGAACATGTCTAGCTCGTCCTTGTTCCGGATGGGCTTATAGATCCTCTTGCCCTCCAGGTTGTAGCCGATGTGCGGGAAGTCCTGGTACCACTCCATGGGGATGTTGCCCACTGTGTTGCGAATGTCCTGGAGAGGAGCGGAGGGAAGTGGTGTGAGGGCAGGGCAGGGGACACCGTTTCAAGCAGATGCACCCCTGGGTGCCAGGGGGGGGGTAAAAAGGAGCCGGGGTGGGAAAGTCGTGTGATGTCCACCCCACTGCTCAGGTACAGGCTGAACCCCGCTGCCTCCCCCTTGCCCATCTGCAGGCACGGCAGTAACGGCACCCAGGCAGGTGCTCTGCCTGCGGCTTGTAGCGAGGACGCCCCAAGCCCTCCCAGCAGGAGTGAAGCAAACCCCGGCTGCGAGCTGCTGATGCCTGCTGCTGCGCTGCACTGCCCCGGCACCCACACGCTGCTGGCAGCCGGGACAGCACGGGAGCAGGGCTGGAGAAAGGATCCCTGGGATGGGGAAAGCCATGAGGGCAGTGACTGAACCCCAAAGCTGCAGTGGGGTGAGGGGGTCTGGCCTGAGAGCACACCTCCAACCCCGGTGCCCCGCACAACCACGGGCAGCCCAACGCCTGCCTGGAGCTGCGCTTCATTAGGGGACGTGCAGCCCTTTCCTCCCCGCTCGGGGCAGAGGACGCAAGCGTCAAGGTAAGCAGCGCCTGGGCTCATTTACCGCAGCAGGAAGGGTTTAAAAACCTTTTAATGGCTTGATGAGCGGGAACATTGGAGCGCGGTGTTGGCTGCAGCCAGACTTCAGCTGCCTGCTGGAGCGCGCGGGCAGGGGCCTGCGGGCGGTCAGCAGCGCCGCGGCTGAGCACATTCCTGCGTCCGTCCCGCAGACAGGAGCGCGCCTCACATTTTCCGATCGCCAGCTGCCAGGCCTGCTCCCCCTGCACACGCACGCACGCGCAGGCACACGCGCACCCAGCCAGCCGCTGCCGTTCTTGGCTGCCCGGGAGCAGGCAGCTGCCCCCAGTGCACCGGTGGCTTCATCCCTCCCCTTGGCTCTATGGCCACCGGGGTCTGCACGTGGCCACGGGTCCCACAGCTCTGGGGCAGGAGCAGCCCCTGGCATCACGGTACGCTGGTGGAGTGGGCCAGCCAGCACCACGGGCGCATTTCAGAGATGCTGCTGGGCTCCACATCTCCTGTCCCCGACACTGGCGGGAAGCGTGGGGGGACGGCTGCCCTGGTCCCCATGAGCAGCTCGCACGGGGACACGCTGCGGAGATGAGCTGTCCCTGACCTGCTGCAGTCCTTGGACTGATGGAGGCTGGGGGAGACGGGGACGGTGGAAACATTGGAGCTGCTCTGCTTCCCTTTGCGAGAGGCTGGGGGCAGGAACCAGCCCCTGAGGGGGCTCTGGACTCCCACCAGCTCTGGCTCCCTGGCAGGACCTGCTGCCCCAGCGCAGGGCTTGGAGGGCTCAGAGAGGAGCAGCGAAGACAAAGAGGCCCCAGAGAGCTCATCTGGGCACTGGGGACGGCTCCAGCTGGGCCCTGATGCCAAGCCCACAGGTGGAGAGGGGGCAGATGGGGAAGTTTCGCTCTGCACTCCCCTGGACAGGAGCGAGGGGATGTTCGGCAAAGGGAAAGGTGGGAGATTCAAGCCCGGTAGCGAAATTGCTCTCACTCAACCTGCAGCCTGGCAGCAGCGCTCATGGCCACGGCAAGTCACCAAAACACCGAGGCAGTCCCGGCGGCAATTGGGCTCTTCTGTGAGCAACGCAGACCTCCAGACTCATCACCATTGACAGCAAACCCACGACGTGACCTGGGGACGGAGCCCCTGCAGCTACACAAAGGCAGGACGTGACCTGACGGGCAGGGGTCAGGCAGACATTGGGCAGGTGGTCCTGCCTGGCCCCCAGCGCCAGCCCCTGCTCCTCGCCCGCCCCGGCTGCATCTTGCCCCTCGGGACTGGCAGGGTCAGGCAGGAGCGGGGAGCGAGGGCCCTCCAGCCTCTCCCAGCTGCCCTCGCGTTGCAGAACGCAGAGACCCCCATCCCCAATTACAGCCACAGAGGGACGAAGGTGTGAAGGCGACCTGTGCCCCGTACACCCCGCAGTCAGGGGTCACCCTCGCCCCGCGGCACCATCTGTTCCCCATAAACACTTGCAAACGACACGGAGCCTCCCACGGAGAGGCGCCTGGAGCCCCGGGAAGGCAGCGCCGGCAGGAGCCCCCGGGGCCACGCTGGACCCATCCATCACTCTCTGAGCAGAGTCGGCACAGGATGTGCGCAACTCCCATGGGGATCCGGGCAGGAATTTTCCCCCTCAGCATCAGCAAGGGCCAGCCTGGTCCCAGGAAGCCGCTGCTGCATTTGGCTGGAGGCTGCGTGCTGCTGGGGCACGGCTGAGACCCGGGGGGCTTCCTGGACCACCTGGGACCGACCCGGCACAGCCCCTGCATCTGCAGGCTGAGCTCCGCTGGGTCGCTGCCCTCTGCAGCTGCCCAGCTGAGGCTTGTGCAGACAGACAGACAGACAGACAGACACTGGGATGTCGGCTCTGGAAGCCTCATCCCGTGGCTGGCAGCGGGAAAGCTGTTACCCAAGAGGCCCCCGGGAGCCCAGCACAGGCTGCTCTGCAGCCACCTGTCCCTGGGATGCCCCAGCACGGCCCCAGGAGATGCCAGTGAGATGCCCAACGCCCACAGCTCTCCTGGCCGCAGGCAGCCACGACACCTGTGCGGTGGTGCCAGCTCTTGGCCAGGCAGGAGCTTGCAGCCGCCACGTCTGCCGGGGCTGGAGCTGCTGCCTCACCCGGGAAGGAGATTTCCGCAAAGAGCAATGGGGCAGCAGCCGCCAGCTCCCCGAGGGGCTGCCAGGCAGAGGCAGGAGTCCCCGCAGGCACGGGGACCACTCCATCCGACCGTCCGCTCACAGCAGCCTCTTGGACCTGCACAGGACGAGGGAACGGCGACGGGGTCAGCGACAACCGACACTTGGTGCGGGTTCCTGTTCTCAGCACCGAGTGTGACACCGATGCTCCCAGGCAGCACAAGGCACACTCGCCAGGCAGAGGTGTATGGCTGTCCGTCCAGCTGCACCCCGCTGTATTTCTAGCAGAAGTACTTGCTCCTGGAGCAGCGTGCTCATGTGCTCACACCGCTGCACGGCTCGCTTGGTTGCAGGGGTCCCTGCCGGCAGCGGCGAGGCTGGGGATGCAAGGCCCTGGCAGAGCACAAGTTCAGCAGTGCCACACGTGGCACCGAGCCTCTGGGGAGAAGCAGGGGAGGGGACGCAGCAGTCCTGCCCATGCAGCCTGCAGGCAGCGCTGCTGGAGCTGCTCTGCTTCACCTCCGGGGATGCAGGCAGGCTGGGCAGTGACAGTGGCAGGGCACAGAGCGAGAGGACACTAGCGGATCGGCAGCACGGGTGCCCAGGTGATGATACAGGTACAGCGATGCAAACCATTTCTCTGGGCTCCATGGCCAAGGGAGCAGAGCAGCTTTGCCTTCTCTGCCTTTTTTCCCTGTGTGATGCTCTTTTCACCCTGAAAAACACATGTTACGGCTCCACTTGCACAGGAAAAGACAAGCGGGGCCAGCTCTCCAGCCGTGGCGTGGCAGAGCAGGGCTAGCTGCAGCCTTCAGCTGCAGAGACACAATCAGCGTAGAGACAAGCAAGTATTTTTAACACCCCAGGCTGCTGCACAGGGAGCACTGCCTTGCCTGGAGCCTGGAAGCCCAGACTGGGCGTCTCTTCCCGAAGGCCGGCTCAGCTCTGCCAGGAGCTGCGGACTTGACACAGGAATCCCTGGGCGAGGCTCTTGCCAGGAGCACAGACAGGATCCCAGCAGGCCTGGAACATTTTCCCCTCAAAAGCGATCCCCAGGGTCCCGTGCTGGCCACGTGGGAGCACACCCCGGCTGCACGCTGCGAGGATGCTTGGGACCTCCTGCCCCAGCCCAGACCTCAAAGTGGGAGATGCCCTGTGCAGCACCAGCCAGGCAGCACCTGCCGGCATGGCCCGGCAGGAATGGGCTCAGTGCCGGCAGGATGCCCCACACACTCGTCCCGTCCCCGGTGCTTACGTGCCCGGCACAGACACCCCAGCGACTGCTGGGGAGAACACTGGGAGGCCCTGACTGGGTGTCCCTAGCTCTGGTTGTTCTGGGGCAGGGAGCAAACCCCAGAGCACTGACGGTGCCATCAGGTAGGTCAAGACCAGGGTCTCAGCCCCGACAAAATCCCGTAGGGACGTACATGCCTGGGGCCACCACAGGAGGACGGCCGGGCTGCGGCTCCCCCACGGGGCTAATCCCCAGCAGTGGGATCCACGTCCCCCCACAGCCCCGCAGTGCCGAGGAAGGAGCAAATTCCTCCCAGATGGAGTTTCTTAATGGTACCAAAGCAGCCCAGTAGCGACAACCCCGTCCCTCCCCTCCGCTCGCCTCCCACCCACCCACTCGGGCTGCACGGCTGCCTCCCGTGTCATTAACACATCGCCTCCGGCAAGCCGCGTCCTCCTAGCGAGCGTGGGGGAATCTGGAGCCCCGAAGCGAGGGACTGCCGTCACTCAGCCTCACGTCTGGAAGTTGTTCTTGGATGGGCCCTGGGCATTCCTAGACGCACATTCCTGGCAGCTGGAGAGCCTCGTAGGAAAGATTCTTCTCTTGAAAATATCCGGTCCACGTGGAGGAGAAAGGGGACGGGGCAAGCTCAGCCCTCCCACCCCCCCACCCCAGAGACCACGGCAGCGTGCCCCAGTGCTGGCAGGGCGCTGAGGATCCCAGGACCATGGCAGGAGGATCTCATGTGCCCCCCGAGGCGACCGCAGTCCAGACTCCAGCAGTGCTGGAGAGGGCTCTGCACCCCCAGTGGCACTTCCCATAGGAGGGGGTTCCTCGAGGGGACCGGCACGAGCACCGGGCACCCTCTGCAGGGAAGGAAGCTCCGCAGAGCCCGGGGTCAAGGTGTCTGCAGGAAAGCCACCCCAAGCACCCCATGCTCTGCAGGGCTGTTAGCCGGGGAGGGCAGGTCCCGAAGACGGGGAGAGGCAGATTTAAAAGGGACCACGAAAGCCCAACTGCACCACGGCCCAGCACCTCGGCCCAGGGAGCAGGGCGAGGCAGGCAGCCACTGCAGGCAGCACCTCCTCTGCAGCGGAGCAGTGGCGTCATTGCAGGTAGCCAGGCCAAGCTTCCAGGTAATAAAGCCATGGCAGGGGATGGATCGCAGCGGGGAATTTCAGACTCCTCGGCCATGGCTCTGCAGCCGTGGCCTCCCCAGGAGAAGGCACCTACACCAGGCTCTGCTGACCTGCCAGGGCTGGGAAGACGGTGCCCAAATCGGGACATCATGGAAGCTCTCCGGGAAGCCAGGAGAGCCACAGAGCCAGGGGTCGGGACGCTGCGATCTCCAGTGGCAAACGCCTCTGCTTATTTAAGACCAGAGCTTTCCAAGCACGTGCCAGCTCTGGTGCTCTGGCCCGACCCAGGACTGAGCGTCACCTGCACACAGGACTGCTCTCCATCCCGGTCCGGAGCCGGAGGAGCTGGGCCGCAGGGAGACGGACGTGCGTCTCACCAGGAAGAACAGTGCAGGGAAAGAGCCTGGGGATTGCACTTGGATAGAAGGTGCTAGAGAAAAGCAAGATCATTAGCGGAGCTAAACGAAAGCAGATGCCTACAGGAGCCTGGGTTTCCAAAGCACACATGGTGAGTGCCCAGCGCTGTGGAAGGAGATGACAGTGGCTTGGATTTCAGAAGCTGCTGAGACTTCTGCTTAACTGTGGTAGCACACTGCAAAGGTGAAAAACGCTGGCTCGGAGTGACAACACCCTGTGCGGAGCTCCTGCTGGGGAGCGCACTCGGGGGGATGCACTGCTCGCCGCCGAAACGGAGGGGAAACCCGAGACTTCACGGCAAATGGCAATTCCCATTTCTGGCCAAGTTGCAATGCTGCTTACCAACACACCACACAAAGTGCACTCAGGGGCAATGAGGCGGCTGTACCAGCAAAGCAGTGGGGTCTCGCCCGGCTGGCCCCGGAGCTGCGTGCATCCAACAGCGTGGAGCTGCCGCTGTTGGGGATTGCCAGTCCCGTCCCCCCCCCCCAAAAGAAGCCGGGG